TCATGAGAGCCACACTACATAGTCAGTTTGAAGCTGTTGACTAAATTTTTGTGGTTAGGGCACCGCATGGCTGAGATCAATTTTCTCAGTGGTTATACACAACACCTGTGGTTTCATTTTCATCCCATAGCTGGAGATCTGTGGTCATCTCCAGTACACTTGTGATACATTTAATATATTTGACATATTTATCCAATAATGAAGCTGAAAGATTTGATGAAGTAGAACATTGATCCAGTGTTCAGTGATGTTTGCACAGATAATTAACATTATTACTATTATTGATGGTATGCAACATCCAGGAGTTGTTACTGTAGGTATTACTTGCATATTTTTGTTAGTGCAAATACATTGAATTTCATATACACATAGAATGGAAAACTGTTCCTGATTCCTTCCAAACAAATGGAAAATACAGAAAAAAAGTATATTTGTCATCTTGGTTGACATGAATTCTCATTTTTCATTATTTGAAAGTGGTTTTTTTTGAAAAATATGCCTACTACAAATACAGCAGAGCAAGAATAAATTGAATGATCACTGTTGACTCAGCTATAATTTTTTGATAGTCGAGGTTACAGAAAAGTCCATCACTAGCATCTTGTAATGATGTGGGGCTATAAAGGACACTTCTTTTCTACTTTCAGTTCTGATTAGCTACTTCCTCACATCAGAGGAAGTGTGTTCAGGAGCAATAGTGTGGTTATTCCAGGCTGCTTCTGGGATTCTTAGGTCAGACAGATTCATCCTTCATGTAGATGGGAAAATGTCCCTTTTGGATCCCACATTTAAATTGCTGATAAAATGGTTCCTCTAAATCATGCTATGACTGTAGTTGCTGAAGATTTCCTAACTGCTTTATGTCAACTGTCATCAAGGAGCTCAATTTTCATTTTCCTGTTTAGTGTAGGCTTTGTCTTTCCTGAGCCAACTCTCAAAAAGTATTCAACTTCACTGATCAGCATAAGCTTTCAAGGTTTATAACATGCCCAAAGAATTAGAATTAAAGCTTTAGGAACCTTAATATTAGCACTGTTTACCTAAACCCCACAAACATCTAAATATAGGAGGCTACTGTGCTTGCGCTACACTTTGTTTGCTAGGGAGGAGATTAGTCAAAAAGGCAGATGTAGAATATATTTGTCTGATAGCTGAGATGATGCAGAAACTGTCACTTTCTCAACCATCCTTCTGTTCTAAAGGTTTTGATTTTGCTCTTAGAAAAACTTGTGGATTTGTTTTTCTTGACAACTTGACTCTTTTTCTGTGAGTTAAAATTACTTGTGCTGAAGAGCTAGGGGGTGCATAGGATTGCAAAGTACAGTTTCAAAGAGTTTTTAGTAGAATTTCTTGTATACAGGTGCTCAGGAATGTGAGACCACTGAGAAAGCAAAATGAAACATCAACAGAAACTTCAGCAAAAACAACAAATTCAAAATAACCTGGTGTAGATTTTTGTTGGATTTTTCCCTGTAGAAATGGGATAAAACAAAACCATTTCTCCTCCTTTTCCCCAAGACTCTCCTTGTCCTAGCTGTACTTCTCTTAGGTTTCAATCTTAGTTTACTTGTTCTCTGGGCCTACTTTCAGAAAACATCTTACATTTTTCCTTCTAGGGAATTCTTTTAGGCTGTGCATGTTTTCAGATGGGCTGCTTTTTTTCTTTCTGTTTTAAACAATTTTATTTTTAACTGGTTCTAAGAATAAAATCAATTGAACATTCAAATCCCAATATGTCATTCAAATTGTTCGTTATACTTCTAAAATTCTGTTGGTTCTTGGCACCGCTCAAATGCTCCTTCACGTACTTTAAACTGAGAAGCCCTGACCCGTTTTCCCCTGCATTCAAATAGCATCAAATGAATGTTACTGTAATAAAAATAATATATGTATTTTATATATTATTTCATTGCAATATAGGGAAAAAATACAAGGAACCATGTTGTCCTGAGCTAATAGGATGCTGAAAAAACTGCATTTATTTTATTAATATTATGTGGATGATGGTGACTAATTTCACTAGTCATAAATAATGTAAAAGGAAATGGCTGTCCAGGAACAAGACTTATGCGAAGGGAATTTACCCCAAACTGAATCCATTTAATGTTACTTTAGGCCTTTGGCTTGCCTCCTTATTGCTCAGAATGTGGTGTTCAATTAGAATCAATGTAAAAACTGTTTTCCTGCTCAGTGATAAATAAAACTAAATAAATCACCAGTCCTACAAACCTGCATGCATTTAGCATTACTTCTAAAGTTCACAGACATAAATTTTCTGTTGTGCAGGTCATTTTCTGTGGTACCCAGAATTGGTAGTCTCAAGCAGATTGTGTTAGTCTTTATCTCCATATGTCCACATTTGACTCCAAATATTCTTTCCATGCAGAAGATATATCTGGATAGTATTTGAAGAACTTCTGCTCACATCTGAGGATGCACTATGTGCATGTTACTCAAACTGGTCCTGAAGTACTTGAGGTGTGACTCTGAGGTGGCTTGGTCAGCTGTGTGTTTGCACAGTAAATCAGTGCTCAGTTGCATTGATTTCGCTATATCTTTGTATCTGTTCAGTGAGCTCAGTGCTTCCAAGGACAACACGAGGTACAGTTCTACCAAAACTACCAAATGTTTTGGTCATAAACCAAATCTTCCAAGCTGTGCCACCTGTAACGTAGCTGTACGACTGCTATGACAATGGTCTCAGCAGTGGTGTTGCCACCATTTGGAGAGCTGCCAAAGATTATTCTGTTCCTTTCTCTCCTTGCCTTGTGGAGTGTCTGTAAATTCACTTTAAGTTCAGAGCATTGGAGTAGGACTGAAGTGAGGACTGTGGGATTCAGCACTAACAGACTTGAAGTAAAGAGGAGATACAACCCCATTGCAACCTCACACATTTTAATTCTCACACTTTCTTCTGTGTGCTCCAACTGGCTCATCAACTGCCTGCTACTTACTGTAAGAGATGTATTGTTGTAGTTCAGTTCCAAGAGGTAAGATTTGTCCTGATGGATGAAAAGATCCAGATGGATGGATTATTTCTTTTTGAAGGTTTTGGCCTAGGAAACTGAAGGATCTTCCCAGGAAAATCCTTCTGCCATGATTTTCTTTGGCAGTAATACCACCAGAAATTGAGGCCTGAACAAACTGTATTTGAGAATCTGAATTCTGTGTTTTGATTTCCATCCTCTTCCTCATTATTTGTAACTAGTATGCAACATTTTGTGTGGTAGTTAATCCACTTTTAAATGGTGTTAATTTATTTAAACATCTCAAAAATAACAGTTTTCAACTAGTTTCGCAAAGAATTTTCTCAAATCCTGCATTGTCTAATATTGTTGTCACTTCCATATGCAAAAAAAATTAATTTTTATTCATGCCCCAAACCTTTTGCCTTAGTTGACTTTGATCTGT